CAATTCTTGTCAATTCCAATTCCAATTCTGGTCAATTCTTGTCAATTCCAATTCCAATTCTAGTCAATTCTTGTCAATTCCAATTCCAATTCTAGTCAATTCTTGTCAATTCCAATTCCAATTCCGGTCAATTCCATCAATTCTCGGAATTGGAACCGACTCGAATTGGAATTGGTGCATGCCTAGATAACGACTAACTCTATTGTTCTTTTTTGGTGCATAATAACTGAATGAATAGACTGCTGTGTTTGTTGTTCAACTTGTAATTCATTCTACACTTTCTCCAAAACACCTATATGTAAATCATATTATATAGCTATTGCTAATAAAATTAGAATGAAGACTAAAGTATTTCCCGTATACTTATATATATATGAACCTTATGTTTGAAGAAGACTTTTGTCGGTGTCTTACATTACCTGTGTTCAACTACTACTTTCATATAAATCTATACTCTGCTGATATATGAGGCTTAGGTGATAAAGCTTCTCCTGTTTTTGAGTCCAAAAATATCTGAATGTAAATGTAAATAAGCTTAAACGACTGACAAAATCAGGTCGAATTCAAACTGAATTTTCTCTAACAATAACATATTAAATAACACGATTTCCCATATACAAACGCTTTAGAGTTTTATTTTCCTTTGTTCTTATTTTTTGATTATGCACTGCAACGACGCAAATGATAATGATATGACAGCTGTTTTGTTGACCGGATGTTTGATTAAAATCAATAGAAACTATTTACTTCAGACGAATGTTTGATCTTGTTTTTCGAGATGCATCAACAATTATACCAAAAGGTCTCACAAAGGATTCAAAATAAACGTCAACGTCGACATGAAAGGAAACAATATATACAATCACTATTAACCGCAACAAATGATGAAGACGAAAAGGCAGACGAAGAAATATTACAAGAACAAGAACAATCAAATTTGGCTGACGTTCATCCAGAATTAAGTGACGTTGAAAATCTTTTTTTGGTCGACGAATATCATGATGAGGATGACGAAGAATCCCAATTCTTGACTACACTTTAAGATTAACCCGAGAACATTAGCATTCAAAGTTGTGGAGAAATCTGGGAAGTGCCGACATCTACCTTTTAAAAAAGATCTAAGATCATTTTGGAAAAAAAGCCATGAACAAATCATAGGAGTCTGATGGTTTTTCAGAAAACCGGAAAATACGAAAATTTGTGAAAATTCACGTTTTTTGGTAACAAGAGTGATCCTCACCAGAGTGTTTTCTGAATTTTTTTAAAAAGCGCTTTCTGAAAGAGTTACTGCAGACCTTATGCTCTTTCGAATGAGACATAAATAAAAATACCCCCTGACAGCATGCTCGCTGCTGTGGCGGAGCTTCTCTTAAAAGCTAAAAGCTACTTTACCTGCTTTTTGATTTAAATCCTATCATAACGGACTTCAAAATTCTACTCTACTCCTACTTTTTGATTTTTGCTATTACGAACCCTGAATATATTGGATCTCAATATATTGGGTATACAATAATACTGGATAGTCAATAATACTGTACAATATCTTCAATAATGATTGGTCTTGGTGCATGTCAATCTATATGATAATAGTTGAATATGGCTTCATAGGAAAAATGATGGAGTTTTCTGAAATATATACTCATTTTGTACCACTGATTATAGGATAACCAAAGCAAATATCCGGAAACTAACTTCAGATGTGTCATCTTTGAGGTCTCTACTTTCGAATCATCTTTTTCTCAAACCTGTACGATCAAATAATTTGTTGTTATACAATGACCATGTATTCTACTTGTGGAAGAGAAGGGATCTAAATGTGTATAAAAACATAAATTCTGAAGCACAAATGTCGTTGTGCCGAAATATCGTGCGCCCAAATGTTGTGCAATACATTGCGCACCCGAATGCCGGTGCATCCTAGTGTAGCGCACACCCAAGTGTCGGCGCCCAGATGTTGGTGCCCTAGCGTCGCGCGCCCAGGAGCCGACATACCATTTTTTTAACCTTAATATTCACATTCATAAAAGTAGGCTTAACTTAAGCAATCCAATACCCAATAGTATTGGAGAAACCCCATATATTGGGACCCAGTATATTGTATTGGCGCATGCATATGTGAGAGGAGAAGTCTTAACTTCGATCTGACTCGTTTCGATCAACGCTTTATATGCAGTCGATATTCGCTGTATCTGACAGATTTTAACAAGGAATGTTTTACCGTTTTTAAAACTAATGTTTTTTACTTGTATGTCCTTGAAGTATGATCTTCAATTAAATCCAATATGCTAATATTATATTCGACCGTTAAAATAAGTTTAATGAAATTATCACTATTTGAACCATTTATGAATTTATCAAATCAATTTCGTTATGTTATTGAACAAATGCCATGTTGCGCTGATACCTATGATCAAGATGAGCTTGAAAACTATATTAATGATTATGTATTTAATTATTTCGGTTTTTCATATATAACAACAATTATATTAGGTGGAATGGCACAACAAACATTATTTTTAAGTAAAAACGATAAAATAGCATTAGAAAACTACGGTTATAATCTCCGTAATGAAGCCAAAATTGAATTACTTAGATCAGTTAATCATAAAGATGAAGATCCATCATTAAATATAACAGAACATGATGAATTTATGGAATCTTATGTTAAAAATAAAGATCAAAGTACACTGGGTGGAGACGCATCATTAATAAAATCATCATTGACGGATTGGTCAAAATCTGTTGAGTTGAATCCAGTTGTAATTAAATTTAATATTAAATCGATACTTGGTTTATTAACTAAACAATATTTTCCTGATGATATATTAATCCAAAATAAATCGATATTAATTGAAAATACATTAAGGAAGTATATTCAACAACATTCAAAATTATATTGTTATAATGACTGTACAAGTAGAATACATGGTCATTGTATAACAACAAATTATTTTGGTTTTGGTCAATGTCATTGTAATCAAGGTTATTCAGGTATTGATTGTTCACAGGAAATTAGAGGATTAGAGGGTACACTTTGTATTAATGCGCCCTATAGTTCAGCGAAGCCAGTTAATGCTTGCCAAAGTGAAAACTATCGACATATTTTTACATTTTCTGTTCCTGCAAACCCTGTTCATCTACATTTTCAACGATTTACAAACAATCTGCCAGGTTTAGCAGGCACTCTGTGTGGCTTAAGCAATGGTTATGTTGCAGAAATTTTGTGTGAAGATAGAAACCCTATTGATCGAGCATGTCCAACAGGATATGAAACATTCGAGTGGGTACATCAGTATGCAACATTATTCACGTGTATGAAAATGAAGAACGAACAACTCGATTCACGTGGAACATTATGCGGGTTCCAGTTTACTTCTTCTTTATTCACTATAAGTTGCGATGATCATTCTCCAGGGTCAGGTAGTTGTCCGCCACATTATCGATTAAAACTTTTACCATCAACATTTCCGTTTAGTTCTTCTTGTTATAAAGTTTAACAATCTTTGTTAGATGTAATTACTTTTTTTTAACATGAATAAAGGAAGCGTGCTTAGCACAAATTCACTAGACGCAATCATCTCACAGAAATTCTCGATTAGTATTTAATCCTTAAGAGACGTTCCATAAGTGCATCGAGAACACATAATATGATCAAAATTTGTTTTTCAATATAACTATGTGAATTCGATTCTCCGTCTAAAGTTATCCAAGTTTTCAGCCAATAGTAATGTTTGATTGAACCATTATGAACTTTTTAAAAGAAAAGTGCATTGTGTTGGAAAATCGTATATTCTTCAGTCTTAATTTTTGCGCATCTCGACGATCTTCGTTCTGAATCAATTATATACTAAGGGGGATGGTACAATAAAGGATTTCTTTGTGGGTCTCCCATTCTGTCCTTAAGAATAAGGATTTTGGGAGGTCTTCTATTGTGTCCAGAAAAGACAGCTGCTTTTCAAGTTTATTGAGCAAATTTGAATTTGTCTCAGTTATTAGTCTTACAGGTCAATAAGAGACAAACAATTATGAAAGAATGCGAGGATAGTAGTCACAGAGCGTTTTTTTCTTTCGTTCGATTCCACACATTTCTTGTCACATGTATTGTGTTTTTATGACAGCTGATGAACGAAAGAAATAAGATACATTTTGTCATCTTATCACATGTGCAGAATGACCCTTTCTCGCTTCTTCATGCGCACATCTATGTGTGCTCTCAGTGCAAAAGAGAATTTACTTTCAATGGGAAATATTCACTATGAATTTTGTAAGACTTACAAGTAAAAAACTGAAAAGTAGGAGGGGTCTTTAATTTCAACTTTTCTAAGATGAGTTCAAGAGGGGTCTTCTATTTAGAGGATCTTTTATTGTGGGGAGGTCGTGTAATGTGGCCACTCCTTTAGTCAAACGAGCGTAAACAACTGGACAAGATTTGCTACTTATCAGTTTTTAGAAGTCAAAAGTTAAAATGGAAAAATTCAAATTTAATTTTCGAAACTTAAGGAAATAACTTTTTAATAAAAATTTTTATTCAAAAAATGCGTTTGAACTGGTTAAATTTTCAAATATAAAGCGTGATAACGTGTCTTTCGAGTGGTGGTCGGTTGGATCCCGTTAAACATGCTTCTAAGAAATTTAACGAATTTCCACGGATTGAAGTTTAACGAGTTCGAGCGAATTCATATTTTGTTAACACGCTCAAACAGATTGTTTTAGTTGAAATATCCTTTTTTGACTGATTTGAACTAGTGTGAAATACACAGGAAAAAGTAATGTTTGGCCGATTCGATGCTTTTTATTTCCAAAAACGACGGCTCAGTTGTTGTTCAGTTTATTTGATGAGCCTCCTTGTTTTAGAACTGACATAATCGTGCACTACTGATTGCTCGAGCTTTTATGTACTGCAACAGTGTTTCCTCTTACATATTTGTAAATTTGGTTAAAATGTACAGACCATTCACCACGCTCGCTAACTATATTGCATGTATTCGAAAAATAATTTGCAGGGCGTGGTGAATCGGATAATCACTATGGGCGATCTATCGTAGCAACTATTATTTTACTTTATGACGATACATATTTGAATATAGCTCATTTCTCTGTTTATCTGTTATTATGAAGTATTTTTTCGACGAAGAAAAAGGAGAATTATCAAAAAGCAAATAAAACCTATGCAAACAACACTTAAACTATACTTCGATAATATGAAGCATTCGTATTCACTACGCGTTGCTCGTCAATTGGTAGTTTAGCGTCCATTTTTGCTTGTGGTGGTAGAGAAAGGGCTGTATGAGAATATGAGCCATCTTGATTGTGATCAACAATACATGCCCATATCTGATGACGACCACAAGGATAAGATGAGTGTAAAGAAAAATAGGCCCACAGACATGTATAAAAGCCGTATTTCTTCCACTGCGTATTTCTCAGACACTCTGTTTCTTACCGAGCTAACATTAGTGCAGGATTTTTTAAATTTCGCACTTTGTTGCCTTTGAAGTATTGATGTTTTCGTTCAGTTGCCAGGCACGAGGTATACGGTAATGGACCAAATTTTCTCATCGTTTGTGAAAAATGAGTCATAAAGTGAAATTTTGGCTTTGTTTCGCCAGGATACAGCCGTTTGAACAGTCCATTGTGGTAGCAGATAAAATTTTTCAATGTTAACCATGTATCCGATTTAATTTCTGCTCTCTTTGTCTAAATTCTTTCTACTTGTCATAAGGATCATATTAATAGTTTTTTCTCATGTATTTCTCAATTATGGTTTGCCATATAACTTGCATTTGATCTTAGAATAAAAGTGAGAGCGGTTAATGTTTTATAGTTCGCCTGTGAGTTTTACCGTAAGGTAACGTTTGCCA